AGGATGACTTTATCAAAAATGTGGAGGCTGTAAAACACTGCCAGGACAATTCCTTGAAACCTTCAAGATGAACACATGTGTCATCTTCATTGCTGCACAGGTGCAACCTTGTTGTGGAAATGTTATCTACATTGACATGTATTTGTTCCACTCAAATCCCTGCAGGTTTGTAGGGACCCTGTAACTGGTGCTTGTGGTTCCTGTGATGTTGGTGTGTGGTCTGTAACAAGGCCTGCATGAAACAGCAGGAGGATGCCAGGCAAAGAAGAAGAAGAAAGTGTAAGTGAGCATCAACTGCTTGACAAATGTGAGGTTTCAGCAACAGGGTTCTAAAAACAGGCAAGTGGAGAGTATGTGATGCATGGTGCCTGGAGAGCAACAACTTGAAGCATAATTATGAGCAATAAGGGTGGTCTGTGGGTCCCTTCCTAGAATGAAAGAAGAACATTACAGGATCAGTCTCTGAAAATAAACCCCACCTTGGACCACAGCTGCAGAATCCCATGCTGAGAGTCCTCTGGGTGTAGCTCCCACCCAACTGGAGCCAGGATTTTTAGGGCGTTGCTGAGGGTTTTGTCTGCACTCAGAAGGGTGCGACAGAAGCTGGATCTGCACTGCTCAGAGAAATCCCAACACAGCCATCTGGAGCACAGTGGGAACATGAAGGGAAGCTGGGCTTACTGAGGCAGACAGAAATCAGGGAGAATCAGGGTCCTGGTCAGGTGTGACAGCCCTAGGACTTCCACTAAATCCTTTTGGGACCACAAATTTACAGTGCTGGGGTCATTCTCCTAGGATCTTTCCCTACTGAAACTGGGATCGCTACACTCAAAGATGATGTGGATGCAGCCTTTAAGGTCCTGAATTTTAGGAGCTCATGGATTCCAGTCCCTTCCATGGGGTACAGGAGAGAGAGCTGCTGGAGCTTGCGGGTAATGAGCCCCAGAGCTCTCCTGTGAGTCTCAATGGGGCAAAGGGCACAGGAGCAGCCTGCAGCCCTGAGCGTCTGTGTGGTCTCCAGGCTCTGGCTTCCAAGAAAGCTGAGTGCACAGCCACTGTGTGTCCTCCCAGGAGAAGCCCATGCAAGATTGGCCTGTGAGTGCTTAAGGACCTGGCCCTTCTGGACAGAATCAGCCTGAGACACAGGACAGAAACCACACTCCCCTTCACTGTCCCCCAAAGTCATTAATGTGCTTCTCAGAAAATGGCCCTCACTGCCATGCCTGGATTCTAGGAAGGTCAGGTAAGAGTGCTCCTCCTGTGCATGTTCTGTCCATTCTGGATTACAATCTTGGGTGTGTATTGGGAGGTTTCAAAGAAATTAAAATGTTCTGCTTAGACTTGGTTCCAAATGAAAATTAAATCTTTTCCTACCGTGATTTTCCCCTTCTATAGTTTTTGCTTCAAATCTCTGTCATTGTCCCAAACGAATGTGTATCTCTATCCCACTCTGTCTCCTCTCCCCCTTGTGTTCCCATCCTGTCTCTTTCTCCCCTCTCCCTCACACTTCTCACACCTTCCAGGCCCTTTGATTTATTAGATGTTCAGCTCACTGCTAGGAAGCCATCTGCCCCACATGACACTGGTGCTGTTTCTCTGGCCTTAGGGCGGAACTTGGAAAGTCCATCCTTAACACTCAGCCCTCCTTGGTCTCCTCTGACACAGCTGCAGACCCTGCTCTGTACTCAGTTTGTTCCCTTACAACTCCCTATGTATTGTATTAAATGGCAAGATTGCTTCAAGTGAAGCGGAGAAGCACATGACACTGTGTCCAACCATTTTTATGCAAAACCCTCTATTTGAAAACATTAATAGGGCAAGGGATTTGGCTCCTTGGTTCTGCATCCTGCCCCTCAAGAGCAAGGGACCAAGTTCAATATCCAGTACCATAAAAAAATAATAAAATAAATAAATAAATAAAAACCTCTATTAATACATGTGTCACATAGTTTTTAATCCTATAATTCACTCCATGCCTTTCAATTTTTTAACCATCATTTCCTCTTTATATTGTTAATATTTTGCTAAAGGTTTTGGCAGAACTTCCTCAGGAATGCCATGTATCATAAACATATACACCTTTATAGTGTTTGAAGTGGAACTCATCCTCAGAAACACAGTAAATGTTTACAAAATTTTATGTGCAAGTCCACTGTTGTTGGAACAAAAAGACTTTTTTTCCTATGTTGACTGAAAAGGGATAAATCAGCTTCCAGAGGACAAGTCTGGGAGTAGCACAGGCATCTGTCTTTGTGCGAGTGTACACTTGTGTGTGTGCTCATGTAGAATGACTGAATCAAGTTCATATCGTCCAGATAATTTGATATTCATGTCAAATTTCTAAAGACTTTTTAAAACTCATTTTTATTTTCCCTTTAGTCTTCTCTTTTATTATTCTCCTCTGCTTTCATAAAAATAATGTGAACATAAATAAAACTTTTATTCATTCTCACTTACCATCTGTTCAATTTGATTTCCTGTTGCTAGTTTTTTACTTTTGAAAGCAAATGTGAAATTAGGGTATTAAAATGTGGTTTGAAGGTAAGAGTTATCTTGACACAGATGTGTCTAAAGGACAAGGAAGAAAATTTTCATGGTGCTTCTCAAAATTTTGAGGTATTTGAAACCTATGTTCAACATGATAATATGGCTATGTTTCTATTATGAAGATATTTTATACTTGGGGACTTTAAAATATTTTTAGATGATACAAATTGATAGTATTAGTATTTTTGAAATTTGGTGAATGTTGTCTCCTCCAAATCAAATAATATTCAACTGGGAGGATATGTATAGAAATAACAATAATTTTATTAGTGAAAGTTCACATCAACATAAATTCATTTTTATTAATGGAAACGTGTCTGTTGTGAGAGAGAAATTGCTCTGCTCACATCTCACCTCCAAATCCCAGCCCCACTCCTGGGAGTACCGTTCCCTGAGAGAGAAGAGAGCTTGTCAGAAGTGGAGAAATCCACACAGGGAGGGATGCACACATTCTCTGCAGGACAGAAGGAAAGGCTGAGCCTGCTCACCAGGTAGGGGCAGAGGACCCTTCCGACCCCACTGCTGCCGGGCCGAACCATCAGACTGGGCAGATTCTGCCGCCTATGAGGGCACAAAGCAGCTAGACCTGGGAACCAGGAGGTGAAGGTGCTCATCGTAGAGGGGGAAGAAACTCCTCAGCCAGATGCTGCTGCCTAGGGAGGATCATGAAGGACCCCAGTGTTTGGTCTTCATGGACTCTGCACGGCAGCACGGAGGGGACCCCCAAGGGTAGGTCTCACAGTCCCTACTGCACACTCAGCCCAGGGCACCACAGGATTCCTGCATGGCTAGCGCTGGAGACATCTTCGGATATTCACAGTAATTCGTCTCATCCTGAGGAGGAGAAGAGTTCCATGGAGACATAAAACAAGGTCATTGCAGTGAGGGAAAGGACAAAGAGGCTCTAAGGACTGACGACCTGAGGGAGCAAAAAGGAGGAGCTCCTCCCATGGGGACCCTCAGGAAGCTCCATCTTGGGGATTCGCTGCCTCTGTGCTGGGCATCCTGGTCTCTTGCATGTGCTGGTTCTCATCTTGGACAGAGTCCTCCCGGAGCATGGCCCTGATTATGTGCATTATGCTCAAGTTTTGCTCTGTAATTTAACATTCAAATTGTTAAAATTGCTTCAGTGTTTTTCAGTGCTCTGTGCTATTTTAAATAACTTCAGTTATGTAAAATAGTAGATGCTATGACAGCATCTACAGCAAGGAATTAAATATTCAATGAATGCATGGGGAGCAGCCCTAACGTCTTGCGAAAGGGAAGTGAAAAATCAATTGTGATATCACTGTATAACGATGAGTATTTCTGGGTTTTTTTTTTCTATTTTTTTCTACTCCTATTTTGCTTGCTAATGAATGGTCTACAAGATTTCTTCTTTTTTTCAGCTTTAATTGAGTTTATTGGTACATTTTAGGGATACAGTACAGTTACATTCATTGTTGGGATCTTGTATATCTACAAGATCTCTAAAGTCATGAGATATAACAGAGAGACATTTACTTAGTTTCCCCTTCAAAAAGCTCAGCTCAATTATTGCCTGAGTTATGTATAGGCACAGGGAGCCAGCAGATGTTTCACCCAGATCTTGTAATCCACACACAAATCACACCGAGAAGAAATTATTGATATGAGAAAATGTGCATCATTAACCCTATTTCAGCTATTATTACACAGGCAGTCCTGTCAATTTTAAAGTGAAAAAATATTCCAAAGTAATTTCACATTATTTTGGAGATACGTCGAATTTCTCTCATCTCTTAAAATTCATTTAAACTAAATTGCATTAGAGTGTTAAAGCTGTCATTATTTCATACCTCCTTTGTGTACAAAGATGAGTATTTTGGTGTTTTTAGATTTTCACTCTAATGTAGAATGCTGATCTCTAATTGTCTCAGGAATGGAGAGACACAGAACAGGTGATGTGATGAATGCACTTTAATATTTATTTGTCTTAGTTCAAATTTACACTGCGTGCAGACCACATCCCAGTGAGGAGCTGTTCCATGTGCACAAGACATCTCAGTTCTTTCTGCACCACTGTCTTCTCTTTTCCCTCCATTTCTTGTCCTCTTGCCTTTTCCAAAAGACTGCTCTGCTTCCAACTATTTCTTGATATTTATTTATAGTTTGAGTTCATCATAGCAGAGAAACTAAGTAATTTTTAAGCTTGTGCATCTGATTTACTTCAGTTGACAGCATGGACTCCAGCTGCACCCACTTTCCTGCCAACAGCTTCTAGCTTGTCCTTCCTTGACGATTGTAAAGCAGTGCTTCGTTGGGACTAAACAGCAAATGCTCTTTGTCCATTCATCTGTTGATGTCCACTCCCAAGACTGAGCTGTCAAGAACTGTGGTGCTGCACACATGGGAGTGTTTGGATCCCTGTAATGCCATGTTTTTAACTCTCCCATTTTCTTTCAGACTCAACAGACACCTCATGACACAGGAATATGAAGAACCAGACCTTTCTGAGTGGGTTCTCGCTCCTGAGACTGACGGATAGCATGGTGCTGCTGGGGCTGCAGGCTGCGCTGTTCTCTCTTGTCTACCTGTTGTCCACCCTGGAGAATCTGACCATCGTCCTCCTCACAGTTCTTGACCGCCACCTCCACACCCCCATGTACTTCTTCCTGAGGCATTTGTCCTTCCTGGACCTCTGCCTCGTTTCCACCACATTGCCCAAATCCATTCTCAACTCCATCACCCTCAGCGACTCCATCTCTTTCTTGGGCTGTGTATGTCAGCTCTTCTTGATGGTCCTCTTGCCAGAGTCAGAGGTGGGAATCCTCACTGCCATGTCCTATGATCGCTATGTCGCCATCTGTCACCCTCTGCACTATGAGGCTGTCATGAACAAAAGGTTCTGTGTCCGGTTGATGGCTTTGTCCTGGCTCAGCGGAGGGGCCCTGGGCACCTTGTACTCAGCTGAAACATTCTTTCTGAATTTCTGTGGCTCCAACAGGATTCACCAGTTTTTCTGCGATGTCCCTGCCATTCTAGAGGTCAGTTGTTCCGAGGAGCATGCTGCTATGAATGTCGGTGTGGCTCTTGGTGTCCTCTCTTCATTCTCTTGTTTGGTCTGCATCTTGGTCTCCTATGTGTTCATTTTCTCTACTGTGTTGAAGATGCCATCCAGGGAGAGCCGGTCCAAATCCTTCTCCACCTGTGTGCCCCATCTAATGGTTGTGGGCACCTTTGTTCTAACAGGTATTGCTGCTTATTTAAAGCCGACTTCCAGTGAACCTAATCTTCTAGACTTGGTGTGTTCTATGATGTACTCTGTGACACCACCTTTCTTGAACCCCATTATCTACTGTCTGAGGAACAGGGACATTCAATCTGCTCTAAGGAAATTCCTTAGGAAGGCAAAAGGGTTTCTTTAGAAAGATACTGAAGTTGAAGGAGGGAGCAATATCCCTGCCAAGATCCTTCCCCTAACTAGCTGTTGGGGGTGATTTCTTGTAGATTTAAGTAGATCCCGTGATCCAGCTTTCCTCAACTCATGTTTTCAGTTTCAGTAGAAAGTAAGTCATTTCCTACTTTCTGTCTCTTTGAAGTTTTTGTGTTACAGAAATTATGAAGCTTTTTATCTTGTGCCATTCATGAGTTTTGTTCTTGTCCTGATGTTCCACATGCAGTCGAATTATGTGAGGGTCTTTTTCCTCTTAAAATTTCATTTTTCCTGGCTTTCTCCATATTTTTCAATGTTTTATTTTCTAAATTCCCTTTGTTCTTCCTGTTTTGTTTATGAGACTTTATTATGATTGACAATTATAACACTTTATTTAAAATTATTTAATCTGAATTTATGATTTATATATCATTGTGCAATTGTCTAAAGTGTTCTCAATTTTATCACGGGTTTTACTTATAAAATACTTGTTTGATTTATTCTATATAAAAAACATTTAGGGGCTGGTGATTTAGCTAAGCAGTTCAGTGGCCTGCCTGGCAAGCACAAGGACCCGAATTCAATTCCCAGTACAAAAAAAAAAAGAAAGGGAGGAAAGAAAAGAAAACATTTAATGTTTTACATATTTTTTTGTTCTGGAATAAATTGTTTCTGGATGCAGAAGTCTTTCTCTTTACTGAAAGCTGTTTGTCTCTAATCTGTGCATTCCTGACATTTTCTAGTTGTCCATTGAAATCTAATCTATGAATGTGGCATCATGCACAACTCTTCCAGACTATCGCTGTCCTGGCATTTCCTGTATCCTCAATGTGCAAACTCCTGTCCTGTTCTGGCTGCAGAACCCACTTCTGTCTCCCTGTCAGTCTTGTCTCTGCTTCCTGAAGGAGAGGGCATTCGTGTGCATTTACTCTCACCTTGACAGCACGCACTTTCACACTTGCCATGCTCCCCAGGCAGCAGGACCTGTGAGCAGGTGGGGTAACTGAGACCCAGGGTGTTGAGCCTGGCCTTTGGTACCAAGCCCATAACACAGGCTGTAGAAAATGCTATGGCCCCTTGGAAGACCTTCAGACCCTGTACGCTCACTGACCACCTTTGCAGTTTCCTCCTGTTACCTGTCCACAGACTCTCCATCCCTACAAATTCTGCTGCTTTGAAACTTCTAAGTGTAATTCAATTAGAATGTGACTCTGAAGAAGTATAAAACATTTGGTTTCATCTTTTCATCTCCAAACACTTACATGTGAAAATCAGGGTGAAACATGAATACATCCACTAAAGTAATGTAAATTTCTATTTTAGTAAGCAAGTCAATAGCACACAAGACCTGAGGTATGTAGGCCCACATGGAAAGGTGAAGTTGAGCTCATTGATTTATTCCACAATGAAATTCATAACTCTGAGCATAAGACAGTGTTGTTGCTGCTTCCCCTATAACAAGTCTTGATGTTAATTCAACTTATTTCAAGTGTACTGCAAAGTTAAAGATGCCTTTCAAAATACTATTATATTGAATGAACATATTTTTATTTGATGCCTTTCTTAAAAATACTGAATTAAAATATGAAAAATATGCTTTTGAGAATGAAGGCATTGGGGAATGACTAAATTTTAGAAGCAGTCATAATGACTGATAAATCACACATGTACACCTTAATCACAAATACTACTCATATTTCAAGTGGGCAAATGATGCAGTTGTCATTCTGATGAAGGAGAACTGAAATGACTTACATTTAATTTCAAAGTCAAGAGAAGTGCGACTGGGCTGGCATCCTCAGGCCCTGCAGAGTTGCAGATAGACGATGCTGCCTCAGCCTGGCTGAGTGGTGAATCCTTCCTTGTCATCTTGCTCATCCTCCACCTCTGTTGTGGGGTTTTCTTCACAACCTCCTGACATTGGTCAGCTGAGGCTGTGACACAAGCATGGGCTGAGAACCCACAAATTCTGGGTCACTTGCTTGCCATCTTCCCACATATGTCCTCAATATCTAGGATCCTAGTGATGATTCTCAGGACCCTTGGAAATAGTGTATCCACCTTAACTCAAAGGAGCTCTGAGTGTCTGAGGACACTGGCTTTCCTCACATAGTGAAACCCAACTCAGCCTCTGGGAACTCATTCAACCTTTTACTATACTGGTTCCGCATCTGTACAGTTCACATTGTGGTGAAATTATTCAGTACTAATCTTTCACATACTCTTCATATTGTGCTGGAAAATCCATAAAAAGGTGCTTAGAAGGATTCCTGTACTAGTCATAAGGAAGTCCTTTATCCTAAATGCTAATGATGCTAAATCTTCTACCTCTGGAAAGAAAGGAAATGGGAGTGTTTAATGACTATTGCTTCCTTGCTGTGTGAATCTTAGCAACATCATTTGGTCAGTATTACATGTTCAATGTAAATTAGTGTTCTTGTTTGTAGGGCAGATGCAAGAAACACACTCAGGAGATGTCCATCTCAGCATCTGCAAATGAATCTGGGCAAATATTTAGATGCAACGAAGTATTCTTGTGCCACAGTTCTAAAATCCTGACGTCTGAAGAAAGACACCCAAGGGCTCTTTGGTGAGCTCAATAGTAAGGAGGAAAGAGTTTCAGAGGATCTGACAATGGAAATCCAGAAATGTGCAGTTAGAAGTATGGTTTCAGAGTTGTAATTTTCCATTAAATAATGTTAATTAAATTTATTAATATTAATGTTTTTTCTAATTCAACACACCATTGATATTTCCTGAAAATAAATATCAAGGAATTGCTTATTTATTAAAAGACCTCAGATCGTAGGTAACTATTCAAAAGTAAGATATGTTCTTAAATAACCCCATATAAACTGTGATGTACAAGAAGGTTAGACCAAATTAATACTTCAGATGAATATGTTCAAAGGCATAAATTAATTTGTTGTCCATATTTCCTATCATGAAAATGAATTGCAAAGTAAATGGAGCTAGTGTCTTCATGTAAATAT